ATTTTTAAACGCGTAGTGAACCGCTCATGTACATGGAAGGCATTTCATTCGATCACATGCAATATGGGTTGGAACTATTCACCAGCACGAGCCTCAATCTCATGGAGTACTTATATCTTCACATCTCCTTCGAGATGGAGTTTCTTTAGCCGGGCGAGAAAAGAATTTTAAATAAGATTTGATTTCTTATTAGTAGTTTCACCAAATTCCTCTGTTTCCTATTGTTTGCATTCCTAATTAGGTAGTGTTTTATCCGCCACACTTTAGGCTAGGCATAAAACCCAACTGATCGTGGGTGCCTTGAGGCTACCACGGGGGCGTGTGGATAACATGGCATGGCATCCGTGGGCTTCGTCTAATTGGTAATGTTTATGCCCAGCACGCTTAGGCTAGCATACAACCCACCAATAGCATGGTCCTTGTGTGGGTGTGATAACAATGACATGGCATCCCGTGGACGGTGCAAGTTAGGTAAATATTTATGCCCACGCTTAGACTAGAGCATATACCACCTAATTGTGGTGCCTTGAAGGCTTGCCATGTGGGGGTGTGATAGCAAATGACATGCATCTCGCCTAGGGCTCACCACATGGCGGGCATGGTACAAGTACCCCACATTCTTCACTTCTTTGTTTGGGGTCCTACATAACTTGGTTTAAAATATCAATCATTACGCCAATAGTAGTTTGGAACGTCCCAATTTAGGGTACAGTTATTTATTCAGAACAAAAAACAACCAAACCAAACTAAGCATTATCAACATAGAAAAATAAAATCACTGATATGATTCCATATTGGCCGATATGGTTATTATTTAACCAAATGAGCAAGCACCTATTATTGCATATAGCACATAGAGCGTCGATCTAGGTCAATTTTTAGATTGAAATTCTCCACCTTTTTAACCTTAAAAACATCAAATTTTATTATTAATTACAAAAATATTTTTTAGGTGCCACAATGCGTATTACAAAGATCCAAATTGTAATAAATAAGGTCAACACGCGCATGCCTTATCAACTTGGTGAGACACGGCAAATTTTTTAATTTTTTTATAAATATTTTTATTTTAATACATATTAATTATTTTATTTATTTATTATATTTTTTAAATAATGTGTTCCAATTAATTTTTTTATTTTATTTTACATACATGTGTTTATTTTTTTTATTTATTAATATGTATAAGTATATATTATCTTATAATATGTTATTATATAATATATATATATATATATATGAATATATTATTATATAATATATATATATGAATATAAAATAATAATAGTTATTATATGATAGTTATATATATTGTATATGATGAATCAAAAGACGAGAAGATAAAGACGGGAGAGAACCGCGGGAGAGGGAGAGGGAGAGGGAGAGGGAGACAGAAGCGAGAGAGAGGGAGAGGATCGCGATCGCGAGGGAGAGAAAAAAGGCGAGCAAGAGAGAGCTCTGAGACGGCAAAGGGGCGAGAGAGAGAGAGAGAGAGAGAGATCTGAGAAGGCAAAGGCGAGAGATAGAGCTCGTTGAAGTTGAATGGGGCTCTGGATCGTCGAAGTCAAAGGGCTATGGATCGTAGCTGACCAGGTTTGCACTCATTTTCCCTTTCATTTTACTCTTCTCGCTGTGTCGCTGTGTCCATGGCGTGTCCAGATTTGGATACGCGTGTCCCGGCAGTGTCTCTTCCATATCCCCTGTAAAAAAATAAATTAAATTAAGGGGACACGCCAGATGCCGTGTCCTGTACGTGTCTCCGGCGTGTCCCCGTATCCGACACCCCCACGGCTTCCATTTTGGCGTGTCCATGCTTCATAGGTTCCTGGTATTATGAAGAAAACTCAATACAGGTCTACTGTCCAATCTTACAGGAGACACTAGAAAAGTCCATTAATGTAAACCTTCAAATCCACAATACCTTCACTCTAGATCTTTTAGCCAGAATTCTTAATGAATTATAAGGTATTATGACACAGTTGAATGAACATCAGTTGAATATCACATACATTTGCTATTTTGACACACATGGGACAATATATATATACATTGCCTCCGCCTACAGAAATTAAAATTTTTCAACAGCTTCTATGCCAGCTTGAAAGGTGTAGTTCTTGAAAAACATCATTTCAATTCCAACAAGAGAAACTTGATATAAAGCATAACCACACCCTCACAAATATGATCTTATGCCATTCTAAACTTAAAATGATCCATGCATCACCCAATTGCTTGATAACAGTTTCTAGTGCAAGACACTTTTAACGAAATTGTTTTAGTAAAGAAAATAGCTCCGCGTACTGTGTTCTTAAACTGGTTTATTTTTAACTTGCAATCAAATCCGACTCATTCACATATAAACAATGGGATTCCAAAATCAAGAGTCCTCACTTTGTAAGTATATCTTAAAACCCATCAACTCATTTCACTTCTATATGTTTTATTTGGTGCAGAACATCTCCACATTAACTTTTTCATAATAATATACATATTTCCTAAGCAACTTCCACTGCAAAGAACTGCAAAGCTATCTTACCAGTATGGACCCTTTATGTAAGATTGTTCCTTTAACAAAAAGAGGCAGGAAGACAGAAAAAGAAATCAAGAAATAAAGAAATAAAGAAAACTGCTTTCTTTCAATTATATAGTTTAGCTATTTCTTGTTATAGCATCTTATTGTCCTTCCTCTCGATATTGCAGAGAACTCAACCCCTCAAACTTTACATGCAAAAAAAGCTATATTCACCTGGCAGCCATCGTAAAATGATGCCTCAAAATTTGGGTACCAGCATTGATTCGGATAAATTCAGTTCATAAACACACTAACATATTCAAATCCCATGACAAAAAACCTTAAACCCTATTCAACAGCAATTCGGATAATTTATCAACATTTCTTGCAAACAAGACATTGTTTCAACATCAACTCAAATAGCAAAACAAAATCATGACAAGAACGCACAAAAGCACCCAATTGACACATCAAAGCAACATTTCAATTACAAAACACATCAAATCTAATCAATGGCAGAGATAGAAAGAAAGAGGGAAAGATAAAAAAGAGGACCTCGCATTGGCGAGCGTTGCTGTGATTAAGCCACTGAAGGAGACAATCTTGGTGAACAAACTTGATGCTCCCACTGCAAGCGCACGGGTACCGGAGAGGATTCTCGTTGTCACCGGGATTCCGGCAGATCCGACAAACGTCCTCCTCTTCGTCGTCGTCGTCGAACTTGCTGGGAGCTTTGTCGCTATACTCCTTCTCAGGCGAACCAGAAGGCGACGAGGAGGAGGAAGAAGAAGAAGAGGAGGGGTCGACGCATGCGGTGGTGATATCGTCCCCATCGCCGGCGACTTGCGACGCCGGCATCGCCGGTGAGATCTCCATTTGATATGATTCGATATTAGGGCTCCGGCGAGTTTCTCTGTCTTCTTCTTCTCCTTCTCCTCCTCTCTCTCCAGAATCTAGACGGCTGGTCGTGGATGGAGACCAAGAGGATTACGCTGCAACGGTGGAGGCTTGGAGATCTATCTCCAAGGGGGAGAGATAATTTTATAATGATGGAGTTATTTTTTTATTTTTTTATTGTTTTTTAAGTATGAGATTAATATGGGGTTATTTTATCTAAATTTTAATCATTTTTAACTGAGAAAGACTCATGGTAAAAAGTCGCTGAAAAAATTATTAAAAAGTCACTGGTAGTTGGGAACTGTGGCGAGAGGTAAATTTATAAGTAAATACATAAGTGACAAGTGTATTGATAGATGACATTTATAGATAGATAACATTTTAAATAGATAAGTTATATTCGAATAGATAAATAGATTGGTAAACTTCTGGATAGATATATGCCTCCTTTGAAATATAATGTTCTTTTGGCAAAAAAAAAAAATTATTGAATTTAGTTTTTGAATCATGATTTGAGTTTTGATTTTGAAATTATTGAGTTGTATTTTAAATTTTTTTGGGTTTATATTTTTTAAATATTTAAAAAATTTCTTAATTTTATTTTTTTGGAGTAAATCTTTTTTATTGTAAATATTTATTTTTTTTAACGTGCGCTATATTTTTTAAAATATTTTAAATATTTAAAAAAATTTAAAAATATATATTTTTTTAAATATTTTTTATTATAAATATACTATTTTATGTTATAAATATTTTAATTTTTTTAATATTTTAAGTATTGTTTTTAAAAAAAATGAATATTTATTTTTTAATATTTAATTTTAAAAAAAATGGATATCCTAACAAATTATTTGGCTAATATTTAAAAAAATAGCAAAATATTTTTTTGAAAAAATAAAATATATTTTTTCAAAAAAATAAAAAATAATTTTACAGAACAAAATAAAAAAATATTTGTTTTGTATTTATTTTTTTTTAATATGAAAGAGTTTGATTATGAGTTTTGAAAAAAAAAACTTGAATTGAATTTTAAAATTTTTGTTTAATTATAAGATTTGAAAAGATTTTTGAATTTTTTTTTTATCAAAGTAATGATTTGAGTTGAAAACTAAACACTTCCTTAAGTTTAGGGCTATTGGCCAACATGGTTTGAATGCCCATTAATGTATTACAGATACGATAATAAGCTATCTATAAAATAAAGGGTTGTTTAAGATGTTTTAGATAAGTATACTTTTTATTTTTTTATGAAAAAATGTATAGAAAAATAAAAAGGTGATGTGATGAAAAAAAGATAAAAAAATGAATTATTTGAGATATGCCAAACTTTACCTAAATCTCTACGTAAAGAGGAAATGAACCTTTGTAAGAAAAATATTTGTGATTCCTAAAAAAATTATTAATTTAATCCACAATTATATAGTATGTTAGGTATTTTTTTTAATTTGCTACATATTCGACCATATAAAGCAAATATGCTTGTTTTTTTGTTTTTGTTTTTTTCTTTTGTTTTTTGGTTGCTAGTAAGCAAATTCCATCGCTACATTAGTGAATTTATAAATCTAAAATTGTAAATATATTACATTTTCGTACACCAACAATGCTTTAATCATATGCATTTACATATCTAAAATACATAGTGGAAGTTACTATTAGTTTTTGATTATTTTACTAGGTTAAAAATTTTGTGTTTGGGAAGATTATTAGATTTTTTTTTATAATTAGATATGATATTTGTAAGAGAAAAAAGTAAAATAATTATAAATTTAATGTAATATTTATTTTATTGGCTATTTTAGCCTATTTTATTTTTTTTGTGAATTTTAGTCTAAAAAATATTAAAATGTCACTTTCCAAATAGGGCTATAGAGTGAGCGTGTAAAACCTACATTTATGTGGGGTTTGCACGCCCATTCACTTTATAGTGTGTTTTGTTGGGAGTTTTGACGAGGGAATTAGGGATGTCATTGCGCAGCTTGTGTAGCGGCAATTGTTGTGCGGCGAAATGGACTCATTTCAGAACTCATTTTGATAATCTGAACCGTTTACATTTTATAATACATCAAGTAGAATATGCCTACAAAAAAATCAAGTTAATCGGATATTGTTTATTCATTCATCCACTCACATTAAATAATAGTTGTGATTTAAAATATTAAAATGAATACAAATGTGAGTGGATGAATGGGTAAATACTATCCGATTAACTTGATTTTTTGTAGACATATTCTACTTGATGTATCCCAAAATATGAATGGTTCGGATTATCAAAATGAGTCCCGAAATGGGCAAATTTCGCCGCACAGCAGTTGCTATTGCACAGGCTGCACAACAGCATTCCCAATTCCTTTGATGAGGGAAATAAAAATGTAGGTGAAATTTGAATAAAATATACTTATATTTTACATAATTTCACACATTATTTCCCTTCCTCTTTCCAAATTTCTTTTAAAATTTCTTAGCAAAGTATAGCATTAGGGAATATAAATAATGTTATTATCATTTTTCATTGTAAAATTTCTATTGAAAAGTTGAGATCATCCTTACCAAGTGTAAAAGTTTATTATTTATTTTTTATTAACCAAAAACAAAAACAAAAAAAGATATTAATATAACTTATAAGAATTTTTTTTAGGGGAATTGACCCATAAATCCCAAATATGGAATAATAATCAAATCAGTCCCATATTTAATTTTGTAAACACAAATGTCCCATTATTTGGGAATTTACGTTTTTACCCTTTTGTGTTGTATTTGTTTTCTAATATTTTGTTTCCATGATTTAGGTGTTTGTAACGTTTGGAAAAAGCGTACTATAGGTTTTTGTGAGTTTAGTAGTTTATGTTGGGTGACCCACGTCACCTTGATGACCCACGTCATTTTGCAAAGTCACTTTTTGAAGCCCCACATTTTGATCATCTGGAAAACATTAAGCCCCCAAACCTGAAGTGTGAACCTCCAAAAGTAAGGATCGTGGTTGGATACCATGATTTAGTGAGTCCGGTGGTTAGGGTTTCATATTAGAATACAATTTTGTTGGGCATTCAGACTGTCGATCTAGAGTTTTTCAACGGAATTCTGTCGAAATTGGTATACATTTGTTGTGGGTGTATGTATGTGAAATTATTGTTTCCTAAATCAGTAGTGCATTTTGTAGTCGTTGTGTGCTGCGTACATGGCGTAATCGAATCCCACATTTCGCATTGGAATGGAATCATTTGTGCATGATTGACATACATCAGGAAACCCCCAAATCCCATAAAATCTGAGACATGAAACATACCCATGTATTGTTGTGGTTAGTTTTGTTATGCTTGGTGAGCTTGATACGTTTGGATATTTATTGATATGTTGGTTCGTCGGTAAAGGTTGCAACAATCGTTACAATGTGCGTTGGGTTTTTACCCATTCCAAGTCCAATGACGACTCCGCGAAACAGTGCGCTGGGGTAATATGGAACATTGTGTGTTTGGGTCATGTCTTTAATTTTTTAATTTTTTGTGGTTAACTTAGTTTTCACTGGGTTTTGTTTAGCATCTTAATTGAAGTAACCTTGATGATACGTTTTCTATCATCGTAAAGTCGCGTATGTTAAGTTTTGGGAGCCCGATGCAACGCATCTATGATTTATGTTTGAAACATTGAAATTGTAATTCATTTTTTGTGTGTTGATGAACTACAAAGTTTGCATTACAATTATGGTGTGGATTTTTTATTACTACAATCAACTTTGTTTGTGTTTTTTTGATGGTGTTATGGTCACTTGATGTGGTGTTGTGACTCTGATTGTGTGACATGACTTGAACGTGGTTGATGTCGAAACATTATGTCTTTCGTACACGTTTTCACAAATATTATCAGTCAACCTACTAAGCGTGAAATCAACACCAACCATAATGGCAACGTTTTGACCCCGTACGAACACAACAACATGATGTTATCTGCCATTTCCTCCATCGGAATAGAACAAAAAATGTAGATTAAATATGAAAATTCACATTCGTCGATACCACATTATACGTACATTACTTCACAATGTAAGGTGAAACGTCACATCATGACACACGTGCTTACACACCGCTGACAACCCAAACACATGTCAACGTTCACTCCCCCAAACTAAACCCAATACCAAAATGAATAAAAAAGCAATAACATTACCTTCGCCTCAATCCAAGAACACGACACCATGGACTACAACTTTGAAGTAGTGTGTTGAATACACCACCAACACAAACGTGCATATCTTGCCCCTCTCCCTCCTCCCCTCCTAAAAATCTGCCTATACATGATCTTTCCATATCGTCCACACCAAATCAACGTAATCAATGGAATTCAAGCAATCCCTTCCGAAAACGTTTCTAGCCACAACATAAAAGTGTATATTAGTCACAAAATCCATTCCATAATAACAGAATGGGATCCTTCAGAATATATTATCAAAAAAATAGGACCTTCACGTATATAAATTTAAAGTGAGGACTTGTTAATCTATAACTCTCCCAAATGGGAGTTTCCAATAATTTTTCCCTTTTTTTTTTATTTAAAATAGAATCATCATTCATGAGAAATAGAAAACAAACAAAAATACAAATAGAGCACCAAATCTCATAAGAAAGAAAAAAAAAAATATATATATATATATATACATATATATGATACCTAATCCCATTTATGAGAGATAAGGCGGTGTTTGTTTTGCCTACAACGGATTAGAAAACTTTTGTGAGTATCAAATTTTTAGTGTTATATATATATATATATTGTATATTTTCAAATATACAAAAATTTTACAGGTATAGTTATTTTGGAAATTAACCATTTTAATTTTTTTTTTACCTTTTTACGAAAGTGTAAAAAAGAATTGATTTTTTTATAATGACTTTTTTATTATTTTAAGTGGTTCCAAACTTAACCTATTTGTAAATATTTTTTTATACTACCTAATTGTTTTCTTTTAGCAAAATGATAGGATCCTACCAAATAGTGGAATTAGCATTGGGTGGTGATAGACTATTTTGTTCATGTTGTATATTGTGGAGACATAATTTTTGATTGGCAACACGTGGCCGAGGTGGCACCGAAGTGTCAGCTGAGGTGCCACATATCCTGATCATGACGCCGAGATGATATCGGTTAGGCCGA